AAGTACCTCGGATACTGGTGGAACTGGCAAGGCAAGTCTCCTTTTGGTACCTGATCGTGTGCGACGGGGAATTGCAGCAGTACGGTAGCGGTGCCTGCATCGGAGTCCTTTTTTTGCTTCTCTTAGAACGGGTATTATTGATGATGAATATAGAAGGCAATTATATAGTCGTATTGCAAAGAGCGATTTCATCAAACATGTTGCCTTTTTCAACCTCGCTCGGTGTGACTGATGGACGAGTGTTGCACAAGTGTTGATTGTGCTATGCGACGGGACCTGCGATTTCGGTGCAGGCGGACCGAGGTGCAAAGTACCTTACCTTATTCGTGGGTATCCATCCGTAAAGAAGGTACGGAGTATCCGCAACTGCCTTACCTATTCACGGAGTAAGTTAGGTAAGGTAGGTACAGTTACACACTACCTACTGTGACACGTGTGTGGTAAGGTGGAAAGACAGAGGATAGGTAGGTACGGGAAATCGTAGGTTATTCGTACCTGCCTGCCTTCCATTGTGAATGGCATCTGACTAAGACTGTCCCGTCGGCTGGGGATTGGACGGGCCAGGATGTTTGAAGGAGGGGAGGAGGGGGGCGGTCCTGGGCGGATGGTTCGATATTCACCTTGCAGCGAGCTTCCAGCCACAGAAAACGGGCCTGTCACTCGCTGGGCGACCTGGGTTCAAGGCTCGGGGGTGGCCAACACGGGGCCGACAGGAGTTGGGGAGCCCCTCTTCCGAGTCACAGAATGAGTGGTTTCCTTCTGGATCGCGTCTAGGCAGGTTAGAGGTTATGAAAGAGTCGACCGGTGACCTCTTGCGCCTTTCTAACTTGTGTCAACCTGGAGGTCACAAGTGTCAAGTGGTTAAGCATTCAAGGGGACAGAGAGGGTTCGTCTTTTGACATGTTGTACCCCCTCATCTCATGATGTGGAAGAGGATGGGAAACAAAAGGATGGCTCCGTGCTCCGTACGCACCTCGGTATGCGTGGCATCAGGGCATGTCCCGGGCATCGGACCAAACAAGGCTGCAAGTGGCCCGGTTGAATCGATGATGGAAGCAAGCTAGAGGCGTGTCGCGGGTAGAGGGACGATTCGGGAAGTTTTCCACGTCCACACTGAATACCTAGTACCTTACCCAGCATAATATTCAACCTGGAGGGAATTAATAGGTGAGGTGAGCTTCGGGTGAGTGTGATGAGGTTCGGATACATAAAAAGGTACATGGAGTACATGAGGTGCGTCGAGAGTGAGACGGGGACGAACAGTGGCGGCTCGCTTTAGTGGAAAGGTCGGGACGAATTCCACTGAGCTAAAATCCCCTAGTGGTGCAGCAAACTGCAAAGAGCCCAAACGAGATGCTGTCAGTGTCAAAGTCGGCCATTTCCAGGTTGGCAGGCAATGGCAAGTTGGCTGAAGGCAAGGTATCCTTGAGATGTCGATACTCGACGTGACGTTGAGGTCAGTTACCTCAATCTACCTTAGTAATGTACCTTCAAGTAAGTAAGGTACTGCGTGGTTACTTACCATTCTCGTGATTCCGAGCCAATCACAAAAATCAAGAGATGGAAGGAGCAGGCCGAGTTCTGAGAAGGAAGTTGCAGTCGGTGCTTGTGCCTTCCATTACTGTGTAGTACGGTACTTAACTTAAGGTACTTGATGTGCTTACTTGCCCAACAGAGACCAAAGTTGGCAGGCGCCATGGACGTGGACAGCGGCCGTGCCATTTGGTCAAATGAAATCGGGGTGAATTTCGCGCGTATTGGCGCCATCTTGTCTTTAGACTTTGCCTTCCGCGCGGCTGGTCTTTTCCTCTTTCTGCAAAGTTCACCTAGCACCATCGTCCCTGCTGTGCTTGCCTATCAACTGACTACCTTAGGTACCATAAGTCGCGACCTGCCTTACCTAAGACGAAGCAACGTGTGCAGGGACGGAAGAACCTCAAGAGAAAGAAAAAAAAAAGTCAATTAATTCTATTGATGATTGGCCACCATACCTCGAGCTTACTGAGGAAGGTAGCACCACCTTACCCGTAGGTAACCCAAGGAAGGTAGGTACCTTAGCTGAGCAGTAAGGTAAGTTTTAGCTTCCTTCCCGCTGACCTTTCCACACCTTGAGCTTGGCCCATTCCACCGAAATCTTTTTTTTTTCCTCTTCCTTCCATCCCAATTCCTGCCTCCCCATCCCATGATCCCGCGCCTTTCCCGCCCACTTGTCCCGTCACTCCGTTCGCCTCTTTTCATAATTCTCTTTGGGCCTTTGCGAACGTGCGGCGGCGGCCACAATTGATCTCGAACGGCCCCCTGCAAACCTCGACACAATCGGTCAACCCTGACCCGCGTCTTTCTCTCCCAAACACTCTCCACCATCCTGGATACTGGACTGGGCAGCAAACACTCCAAACACTCCAATCCTCCTACACTACGGAGTAAGACCCCACCCCACACGACGGATCACCCTCTACGACAGATCACTCGATTGGGCCGCATTTTTCCCTCCTTCAACACCACTACTACTACGCTAAGTAAGTATTAAATAATTAAAAAAAATTATAAAAATTGTACTAAAATTATTAATAGATTCGCTATACTTAAATATATAAAAGAATATATTAAAAACGCGCTAATAAACGTTAGCTTTAGTAAGTTGATTTAAAAGGCCTTTATAAACTAAAGAATCCCCTATATAACCTTTTCGAGCTAACTAAAAAATATTATAATAATTAAGAAGTTAAAAAAGGATTATTAAAAGCTTAGTAAATACTAGGAGTAATCCCTAGCTTATTAAGTAATTATATAAAGCTAGCTAGGATTTACTCCGACTTATACTTAAGTTAGAGAGTTTATAACGCATATTATTTAATAAAATAGTAACTAGTACTTACTTAAAAAGAAGTAAATAAATAGGTTTTTATAACAGAATCCTGCGCTATTAATATTATAGGCCTATTATATAAATTTAAAATACGTTAAGTTTATTATTATTAATATTATAAAAGCTTTTAAAAATCTTAATAATCCTAGATATTAATAAAATCTCAAGTCTTTTTATTAAAATATAAATAAAATAGGATTAATAAAGGGAGTAATAAGGACTATTTAATACTAAGTAATTTTAAAAAAATATTTATATCTAAACCCCGGAGACCGTATTTAAATATTTATATTTAAATATATGTTAATAATTAGCTAATACTTCTTATATTAATTATCTTTAAAATAAATAATATAATAATAATAGTTCCCAAAAGATATTAAATTATACTTTATAAAGCTTTATATTTTTATAAATAAGTAAACTTTAAATATAATTAAATTAAAATAACTACTTAAAATATTTATCCCGTAAATAGAAATAGGCTAAGAAATTCTAATCTAAATATTTACTTATTATTAATAATTATAGTAATTACGTTTTTAATAATTTTATATAATAATATTATTTTAAGGTATTTATTTATATTATTTATTACCGTATTTTAATTATAATACTTAGCCCTTAAATATCTTAGTATTCTTATTACTTAAAATATATTATTATAATAAGCTTATAAATTACGGTCTTTAACTTAACTTAATACTAATTAAAAAAGAACTTCTTTTATTATTATTTCTAAGCCCGAGAATAAGTATTTATAAAATAAAATATATATATTAATTAAAAATAATAGGGCTATAGCCCGTTAATATAAAATAACCCTATTTAATAAATTTATTATTATAGCGTAGTTTATAAATATTTTATAAGCATTATTATAAAAACTTTTATTACTAAGAGGCCAAATACCTAAGATTATAATATTATTACCTTTAAAAATAAAAAATTTTAAAAAGTATTAAAAGTTCTAAGTACGAGGTAAGGGCGAGGTTAATTATAATTCCGTTATTTATAAATTAATATTTAATAAAATAAATAAGTAGTAAATACTTAAAATATAGCCCTAGCTAATACTTAATTAGTTATTAAGTTACTAGAGGTTTAAGTATAATTATATAAGTTAATTATAAAAATAAAAATATATTAAAATTTAAATAAGTAATTTATATAAATTAAGGTTATTATAAAAATAAAAAAGGAGGCTAAAGCTCGTTCGTAGCGCTTAGTTATAGTTTTAACGCTTATAAACGATATAATAAAAGCTTAATTTATTAGTATATATTTAGAATTTCAGATTTAATAGCGTTGTACTATTAATAATCGAATTTATAATTATAACGTTAAGAAGTTAAACTCCAGAAAATCGTCTATTTTAGGTGATCTGTCGTGGGGGGTGATCCGTCGTGTGGGGTGGGGTCTTACCTTACGCAGTACTCCGTACAGGCCACTGAGGCCAGCAAACCGGGTGTCCCAGCCGCCAGGCCAAGACTTTTCGCCGGCCCGTCAACCTGCGCCTGCGCCTGCGCCTGCGCCTTTGCCTTCACTTTCCGAATATCTGACCCACCCTCGAGAAGGAAGAAAGGGAAAAAAAAGAATAGGACCTTCACATCGCGCACTACCCACCACCCAACACAACGAGTACCTAGCAGCACGACCACCACCAGCAAGCAGTGACCAAACTTCCTTACTCCGTACATACACTACGAAAGTCAGCACAATTCACCCCCTCGTTCAAACTTACCCATGGGCATCCAATGCCTGTGCCTGTACCTGTGCCTGTCGCCCGCGCTGTCTCCTCGTCTCGTCCCTTAACATCATCCGCCTCTTCTACCGCCTCCTTCTGATAGATCCACCCGCACCACCAATACGCCGTCTTCCCTGACCAATACCAGACACCATCTTATTCTCGACTGGCCTCGTCCCGACTTCGACCCCTCTTGCGGCTTCCGGCTTGCCTTCTCTGTAAGGTACGCGCAGGTACATTCGGAACCAAGACCACCTTACCCAGTCACACCTCGCAGACTGCCATACCTACGGATACTTCAGTACCGAGTGCTCAAGGCTCAAGCCCAGAGTGGTAGACGACGACGGATATACTCCGTACCCCGACCACCCCCTGGCCCCTCCGTCCTGCGCGCACGCGTGGAAACAGCCTGTTAGTATTGGGGCCGAGAAACGGGAAGACGAGTCCCCTTCATCCAAGCAAGCATCCAGCATCCAAGCAATCCCAGGCCCAGGTCCTGCTCCCAGCACCAAGTACCCGCGCACCCAAGCACCCGTCGCGCGAAAATTGTGCAGATCTGGCTGGGCCACTGGCTTGCTCGATTCTCCCTCTTCGCGCGCCGCTCCCTACCTTGCCTTAGTGCAGGCCTTCCTTCTCGGCCGACACCACACCACCCACCCGAACAACGTCTTCTGCCACTTTGCGCGCAAGACAATCCGTGCTTTGCTTGACTTTGCACACTGAGGTGGACGTTGGATTTGCACACTGCACTGCACATTCGACACACAGCGGCACAGGGGGTCCAGAACTGCAGGAGAAACTCCTGGCCATCCACAATCGCCCTTCTCCTCTCTTTCTCTGCTCGTCCCGGTCCCGAAAAGACCTCCTTCCGCGCTGCTGCTTGACGACACTGGTCCGAAAAGGCGCCCACCCCAGGTCGAATTCCTCCTTCGCACACACCCACAGGCACCCCTACGCGTACCCTTCCTTTCCTCCTCCTGCTGCCGCTCCTCCGCACCCCCTCCCGCCTCCTCCCAGTCAGTCCCAGGACCAGCAGCAAGTGGCAGCAGCAGTCGAGCCACAAGCCAGACTGGAAACGAAAAAAAAAATCTCGCCTCGAGTCGCGACGCTGAGAACAGGGACCACGCACCAGGCACAGCTCCTGATCAACCTGCACCCAGGGTGTCGCGCATCCACGCTGCTGCTTCCTTCCATCCACGCCTCTTCCCCTGGTCGACCTCACAAGTCCAATCGTGGCTCCATAAAAATTTCTAATTAAAATCGAAATGGCTCAAGAAGACACCACAAGCATCAGCACAAGCAGCACCAGTGCCAGCACCTCCAGCGTGCCTGTACCTGTGCCTGCGCCTGTGCCTGTGCCAGTTGTGCCTGATGTCAACGACGTCGCCGCTCCTAGTACGGATCCCTCGACAACCTCTACTAATTCTATCGTTCCCCCGAATACTTCGACCTCTCCTCCTCTTCCTGTCGCTTCTGCTCCTGCTCCTGGTGCAGCTCCCCTCTCCACGACACCGACCTTGACCTCCATCGATACACCGACTCTCTCCACCGAGACCCCGTCCGTCGCGACTGCGAACGCGTCCGTACCTGCCACTGCTGCGGCACCTGCGATTGGTCCTTCGACAACGAGCGCGACTGCGACTGTGACTTCGACTGCGACTGAGTCTACTACGCCTACTGTGGAAGCTCCTGCGCCTCTCCCTCCTCAGCAGAACGGCCAGCAGAACGGCGACGCGAGGGAGTCACACTCGCCCGGCATGGCGCATAACCAGCACCCTCATGGCTCCCAGAGAGGCTACCCGAGCCCGAATGCCTTCCCGTCACCTGGTCCTATGCCGCCGAACCAATATGCCTACCACCCTCAGCAGACGCAAGCTCAGGCGGACCCATATCGAGCCAGTCCTGGCGCGCCGATTCCTTCTCTGCCGAGCATGAAGAGCCTCGAACACCACTACCAACAAAGTGCGCCGCCGCCTCCTCAGACGATGCCGATGCAGATGCAGATGGCGCCCAACCAAGGCATGCAATACTACCTCCCGCCGGGAGTACAGAGCAACCCATATATGACGCAGGATCTGAACCACCTGAGATATCAAATCCCCCACGGGCACGATCCTAGATTGATGCGCGGTCCCGGTGGGCCGAAGAAGGTATGTTTGAAGGGATATGCAAAGAGACGGAAGAAGGCTGCTCCGGCAGTAGCAGTGGCTCGTTTGGATAAAAGCTGACGGTTGGGGTTTACCTTTCTTTCTTATTAGGAGATCAAGCGCCGCACAAAGACAGGTTGCCTAACTTGTCGTAAACGCCGTATCAAGGTTAGTAATGATTTTCGTGAAGTTCTGCTCTGTTTGTCCTTCTTTCCCAGCTTTTTTTTTTTTTTTCATATCACCCTATCCCCGCTACGAATTGGGCGTTATCGAGGCAAAGAGGCAATTGGGGAAATTTTCTCGAGACTCCCCATCCGAGAAAGCGCGCGGGCGCATGGAAGGCAACATTTGGAAAAGCTCGGGAATGCAAAAGATGGCAAAGAAACAAACAAACTTTACGATAAGCGAACCGAGTCGTGGTTTCGCCAAAAAAAAAACGGTCGCTTGATGTTCGCTTGGTCTGGAGCTACTGCGAAGCGAGGACGGGAGCCATGCCTTTGAACCACGTTCCGGGATCGCGCCCGCGCCCACGCCCGCAAGGAGGAGCAATCTTCCGTTCCTGCAGAACCGACGGCCAACCGACCGCCGCGCCCGCCTGCCCGGCAAGAAAAGCCCCTCCCTCCTTCCTTCCCTTCCCTTCCAGTTAAGCCTCCAAGCCTTGGTTTGGGCCTCAGGACAAGCGTCAAGCCACCACACCACTGAGAACCTGGACGGACACGCCTCCAAAAACTCCAAGCACCAGCCACCCTCACCCATCGGTCACGATTGCCGCTACCTGAGCTGGGCCTAGCCTCGTCCCATCTGCGACATTCATCGACTCCAACTCGAATCCATTCACCTTACCTCATCATCGTCCCCAGTACACACACACACACATCACACACACAGCCCTACCATCGTCGCCCGCAAACGGCATCTGCATATTCACCCGTCGCATTCCTCCCTCCACTCTCATATTCCCAGTTGTCTTACACATACATACTCATTGCCGTTCTCATCCCTCGCTCACGAGGCTTCTCTTGGTTGAGCCCTTTTCTCAGTAAAAGCCGCCATTCTAACCATCTCTTATAGTGTGACGAGGCTCACCCGTCCTGCAACAACTGTAAAAAGTCGAAGCGAGAGTGTTTGGGATACGACCCCATCTTCAAGCAGCAGCCAGGTCCTTCCGTAATCCAGCCCGCTCCGAACGCCCAGCGGGTGCCGACGCCGACCATCCCGTCCGTGCCATCATCCGTCCCACCTCCGGTCCCGACTGTACCTTCAACGCCTGCCGCGCCTCAAGTCCCCGTGCCGGTAGCTCCATCAAACCCGTACGGAAACCAGCCCGCCGTCTTGCCTAGCTCGTATAATCCTCCCGTTCCATCTTCGCACGCCCCTCTCGATCCAGCCTTGAATTCTGCTGCGTCCGGCATCAAACCCGAGCCCACCGCCTACGACTTTGCGGCCCCGATAGATCCAGCTCTGCAAAACCTACCCGCCCCGGCAACGTTACACTCTACTCAGACCCAGTCGTTCTCGGGCGAGCAAAGGGCAGGCTTCGACAACCATCTCAGAGGTGCGACCCTCCCGCTATCATTGTACATGCCTTGTTCTCTTTCAGCCGTTGTTGCTTCGTTCTCAAACCCTCATACTAACACGACCTACACAGCCACCAGAATGAAGGTCGATGACCTTATCGGCCTCCTGGGCCCCGCTGCTCCCACCCAGGAGATTGCCCTCACTCCCGAGCTACTCACCGAGATCATCAACGTCTATCGCGAGGTCTACGCGGTCGGCCTCCAGTCCTTCTTCGAGGCAAACTATTTCCAGAAGCAGGATGCCCAGGGAAAGTTTGCCTTTGAGCACAGCCAGCAACTCTTGCGCCAATTTGCCTCGTTCCTCAAGATTGTTCAGTCTGTCCCGGCCAATGACCACACCCAGATGACCCATTCCGGAGTTCTCGAGACTCGCTTGATCTGGGCCCTGGCCATCTTGCCATGCAACAGCGCTCCTCCTTCGTCCAACGCCGATGCCAAGGTTCTGCCACCTCCGGATGACCTGACAGAAGCAGCCAACCGAGTCAAGGTCATGGAGACCCTCCTCTGCGGCGACTTCTTGTCCTCAAATCCTCTCACACCTCCTGTTCCTGACACCCAGCCTCATCGCGAGCAGGAGTTTGAGTTCTGGTATAACCTCGCACAGTATCTGTGTTATTACGACCCAGCAAAGCGTGATGAGGTTCTCGGCAAACTCAGAATGCAGCTCGGTGGTAGAGAGAACCGAGATCTCATCTACTCCATCGCCATCTCGCGAGAGCTCTCTCCTCGCGTGGAAGTCGGTTTCGAGCGGAATGTGCCCCAGCATATGGACGAGTCCGACCCTAAGAACCGACTCTTCGTGGCGAACAAGTTCATTCAGGATGAGGCTCAAGTGACCGGCGGAACAACAAATGTGGTCCGGCGATTCGGCGAGATTGCCATCAGAGCGTACATCAGTCCCGGGGTCAACATTGCGGCACACCCCCACCAGGCTGCTCCAGCACAGCCTTGATCATAATGATCCAACCAGATTTTTCGTTTTTTTCCTATCAGCATTCACACTCTGCAGCATTTTCCAGGCTCAAAGGGGGCGGGGGAGAACCAAAAAATCGTGTATTTTCGGAGGCGTTCACAGGGATGGGAGGGAAGCATGGCTTTCTTCCCTTTTGTGATTTCAATTTCCTTTTTTGCATCAAAGCATTCGGGTGGCAATACGCTGCTGCTCGTCCTATAGTTTCACGGCCGACGGCATCATCTTGTACAAGTAGTTCCCCCCTAAAAACTAGTGATTATTCAGGCATGGCGGCGGTGTGGCGGGAAGAAAAAGAAAAAGTGGTTTTTGAGTGCACCAGTGACTTGGGGGATGGGAGGCTTGGTAGAGATCTCCCTTGGGACTTTCCTGGGAGGAAGCTATCAGACTTTCTAGACCTAGAGGCTGCTGATGCTCTGTACGATATTAGACAGCATGGCCTCGATCCTGGATTTGGAAGGCCAGTAGAAATCAAGAAATTCTGAACTAGCATCGTTGTGTCTGGTAGACGCCATGAGGTTTTTGGTTATGCCACTTGAGGTTGATAGTCGAAACTGAAGATCGATGTCAAGTATTGCGAGGCTGTATGCCAAACGACGATGATGACGTTGACTGAGATGTCGACCACCCAGCGAGACGCATGATCAACGTATCGATATTGAGGACCCTTTGTAGCGATGAGATGCGGGGATCATGCAAGTCACCACGATTGAAGAGCCTAGCCGGCGATTAGCGAGGTTCGATGCAGATTCGGAAATGCATGCTACTCTTTCGCCAAACCTCTGTTTGCCAAGGTGCCTATTCTTGGGGTCCATGCGATGTCGGCGATGTTTTTTTCTTTAATTCAAATTTGGTTGTGGTGTTGAAACTCGAGATACGAAATTTTCCGGTCCTTTTACCTAAGGAAAACCTTGCGTTTGTCGTATTTACGACCAGCTTCGGATCTCGAGGTGGAACACTTAGGGTTACCGAATTTGGCAATTTTTACAATCAAAAGAGCTCACGGCGACTCAGCGCTTCCGGGATATTTTCGAAGGACTAGAGTTGCTCTTTTTTCAATCATTCTCATCATTATCATCCAACTACCGGTACGCTTCACGGATTCTACTCGACGTTTCATTCTCAACTGTAGGTCTTACATTCGCTCGCCTCACCGTTGAGTCCCGGTGGTGGGGGGGTGTTCCAAAGCCCGACAGATAGTTGATCTAACACGACCATCTTAGTGAAAACTTTGCCAACGGAACGAAAACGGTTCCCGTTGACAAGAACAGAAAAAGGCGTTCTTGCCAGTACCATCGCGTGGGCTCGCGGAATTCCGCTAAACTGCAAAACTGCTGAAAACAGCACAAACGGGCTGTTAGTAAGCGCCAAGTACAAGCTACAACATATACGCTTTCCCACTTGTCCCGAATCGAAAGAAGAAACTCACGATGAGTTTCTCCTTCTCACCGTGGCTTCACGATTCACATCCCACTTACACCAAAATGAAATCCCCCATCCCGGATTACCTCAACCGCGTCCTCGAGAATGCGCGCCCCAACGAGGCCGGGGCGCCAGCGGGCTACATTGACGTGCTCGCCAAAGCAGACACGTCCAAAATGGCCGTCGCACTCGCCATGGTAGACGGGAACCTCTACTCGGCAGGCGACGACCGCGTCGAGTTCTCCATCCAGTCCATCTCCAAAGCCTTCGTCTACGCCCTCGCCATCGAGGACGCAGGCCTCCCTGCCGTACTCGAAAAGATCGGCGTCGAGCCCTCAGGCGACGCCTTCAACCGCCTCTCCCTAGAGCGCGGGTCCAACAGGCCAATGAACCCCATGATCAACGCCGGCGCCATCACGGCGCACTCCCTCGTCGTGTCCCCCTCTGCGACGCTGGAACAGCGCACAGAACGCATCCTCACCGCCCTATCGCGCCTAGCAGGCCGCCAGCTGCACGTAGACGAAGAGGTCTACGAGGCGGAGCTCAAAGACGCGGACCGCAACATGGGCATCGGGTACATGCTCAAGGCCGCGGGCATCATCACCTGCGACCCGCGCGAGGCCGTAAAGGGGTACATCCGGCAGTGCTCCATCAGCGTCAACGTCCGCGACCTGGCCGTCATGGCAGCCACGCTCTCCAACGGCGGCGTGCAACCCCTGACGGGCGAGTCCGTCATCCCGCAGACCAGCGTGAGGCAGGTGTTGTCGGTGATGACCACGTGCGGCATGTACGACGCCGCGGGCGACTGGGTCTCCAACGTCGGGATCCCCGCGAAATCGGGCGTCGCGGGCGGGATCATCGGCGCGCTCCCGGGGCAAGTCGGCCTCGCTTCGTTCTCGCCGAAACTCGACGAGCGGGGGAATAGTGTGCGCGGGGTGGCTATGTGCGAGCAGCTCTCGCGCGATATGGGCTTGCATATGATGGACGTGAGCCAGATTGCCAGCGCGACGGTGAGGACTTCGGTGGCGACGCTCGTTGCGGGTGCGCATGAGCCGCATAACCCGAATTGTCAGCGCGAGGTGGTCATCTTCAGTCTTCGCGGCGCGGTGCGGTTCGCGGGTTCAGAGAGGTTGACGAGGGCGCTGGCGAGGGAGCTGGGGTCGCCGGATCCGGAGGATCCCGGGTCGGGAAGGCATGAGAATGCGTGTGCGGTTGTTTTCTCGTTTCGGGATGCGTATTCGTTGAATAATATCGCCAAGAGGATCGTTCATGAGAATATTAGGAGGTTACTGCTGGATGAGCGGAGTGTTGTTGTCGTTGACCCGAACGGGGTGTTGGGCATGGAGGTTGATGCGGAGGGAGAGAAGAAGCCGCATCCGCATGTATTCAAGTCTGAGAAGGATGCCAGGGATTTCATTGGTGGAATGGGTTGCCAGGCTGTATTTAAGGAGGATAGTTGGTGATTATCGCAGTGCTTCAATGATACCATTTTCATATCTGACCTATGGGAAGACGGTCGTCGCCAATCTTGACTTGCTGGGGGTTAATCTAGGGCACTCTGATAGCCTTCGAGAAGGAAACGCAATGATGAGAAGGCAGCATACCCACTCGTCAACTTGTCTCTTTCAACCAACCGACCATTTTAAGACCGGGGCTGCTATGAGTGGATTTATTCTGATCATAAACCTTAAGCATGATGTCTTATACATGAGCCTTCTCACGACAAGCAGATCATGTTTCGATCTCTTGTCATATCCAGCGTTAATCATACGGCAAGTCAGTGGTTTGTGAGGGCTTGTCTATAGTACCCACCATTCTATCAGTTCGCCCTGCCTTCCCATAAGAAATAGATCTCGCCTTTGCTCCAGCTCAGAGCTGCAGTAGGCCCCGGAAAAGTTCTCAATGCTCATGGGGGCCATATATAGCATGAGTTACGCACAAGGGGTTGTCCCCCTTCATGAGCATCTCTGATGATCTGGCTTTACACGTTTAGGCGACATTGGTCTCTTGATCTCAACAAACTCAATCCAAGAGATAGGCCTAGTTTTTGGAGCCGCCAATGTACGTGCGTTCACCTGTCTAAACTTTTACATGAACAAGATCCTGCACAAAGTTGAGACGTCACAAGAGTCTCTCACCTCTACCATATTCATTGAAGATACCGATCTACTTGGCAATGACTGACGCTTACCCCGAGTCTTGACTCGGCCTTCTTCCCGAAGGAATCGTAGTGTATGACATTGCCCCCGACTCGCGGCTGAGATAAGATGCCGGGTCTGGCGGGGTGCCTTTCACGCCCTCTCACGCCCTGCAGAGACACATAGTCCAACCTGTCAGATAACCCTGTAACCAAAAAATCTGGAAGCTCGATCTAAACCTCCTTATAGACAATCGAGTAACATCACTTCTCTTCAGCCCCCTCAAGCATAAGGTACAGGTGAAATTGTCGAAAGAAGACGAGTTTGGGCGACCAATTGAGCTCAACCCCGCTGATCAACCCCCACTTTCCCAATTGAGTCGACTTCCCAACGGGAAAGCCACCCCGCGCCGCTGTATCTCAACTCCGACTTCGCGGCATCAACTCGGCGAGGTGACGAAACTTGCTCTCACCTCATATTTCGCCATCACAAGTCAGGCTGGCTAGTCTAGTGAGTTAGTCTTCTTGCCAAAAGTCAGCACAGAATTCCCTCTGCTTCGGAAGAGTCTTCGATTTGCTATAGAACGCGACGCAGTGGACCGGATGTCATTGTTTGGAGCTAACCAATACCTCGCATAGTTCATGTCCAATTCTTTCAAGAACAGATACACCTCAGAAGAACCTCATCCCAAGCCAACTTTCTCAATATCACAGCCATGTCGAAGCCCATAGTTCTCCAACTGGGCCAAATCGAGCAGTACGTCTCCCCTCTTCATCATTTAATCCTAACCAGTCCCATCTCATAATCCTCAACCAACCTTCAGCCTCATCTTCACATCCTCCCACCAAAACCCCTATACCACACTTCCTCATCTCAACCAGACGCACCAAACCAAAGCTGACATACACAACCCAAAAGCGCCCACGACACCTGGGCCTCCCTCGCTGACGTCGCCCAAATCATCAAGCCCAAGGCCACCAACCGCGCCGAGTTCCTCGAGGAGTGCAAGTCCGGCGCCCTCGACGGCGTAAATGCAATCTACCGCACCTTTGCAAGCGTCCACATCACCGGCCGCATCGACGCCGAGCTCATCGCCGCTCTGCCCTCCAGCGTAGGCTTCATCTGCCACAATGGTGAGCCTCCCTCCCCTTCTTCCACCTCACACGCTCAAAACAGACTCGACATCACGCATTCCCCATCACAACTTCCTCAGCAGTAGCAGTGAATCAGACACCAGATACTAAATAACACCAGGCGCCGGCTACGACCAAATCGACATCCCAGCCTGCACATCCCGCTCCCCCAACCCCATCCTCGTCTCAAACACCCCCACCGCAGTCGACGACGCAACAGCAGACATTGCAATCTTCCTCATCCTCGGCGCCCTTCGCAACCTCAACGCCTCCATCCTCTCCATCCGCGACGGGAAATGGAAAGGTCAACCCCCTCCCCCGCTAGGCCGCGACCCCCAGGGGAAAATCCTAGGCATCCTAGGTATGGGCGGCATCGGGCGCAACATGGCCAAGAAGGCGAGGGCGTTTGGCATGGAGGTGCGGTATTTCAACCGTACGAGGCTCGAGGGCCATTTGGAGGAGGAGTGCGGTGCCAGCTACGTTGATTTCGAGACGTTGTTGCGGGAGAGTGATGTGATTTCTCTCAACCTGCCTCTAAACGTACGTAACCACCATACCTTGTATCCCCTTCACCACTGACAAAACCAGGCCCACACCCGCCACATAATCTCAACCCCGCAATTCGACCTCATGAAACCTGGCGTGGTGGTAGTAAACACGGCCCGCGGCGCCGTCATCGACGAAGCTGCGCTCGTCTCGGCCCTCGACTCCGGAAAAGTCGCCAGCGCGGGTCTCGACGTCTTTGAGAACGAGCCCGAGGTCCACCCCGGCCTTCTCGCCAACCCCAATGTGCTGATTGTTCCGCACATGGGCACCTGGACGCTCGAGACGACCGTTAAGATGGAGAAGTGGGCTATTGGGAATGTAAGGAGGGCGGTGACGGAGGCGAAGTTGGACAGTGTTGTTGTTGAGCAAAAGGGGCTTGTTGCTTAGGGTCCGTGGTTGAAAAAAGGAGATGGTAAAGAGTCTTTGGCAGACGTTTTGTCTTCTAAAGATGTTAGAAAAATATCGAAAATAAGGTTGTCTATGTAACTGGAAGTTACACGAGACATGTAATCTTTAGGACGTATAGCTTAGGAAAAGACTACATTGTTATCGTCTGACATGGATGTTGGATAGACATTAGCTTGGAACATATTCCACGATAACATCTCCATGTCTGGGCTGGAATAAGTAACACCCAAGTTGCATTGTGCCTCATGGAAGTATACTGCATGATATACGTACCGAGAAAGGGCGGATCCCTAGGCGAGATCCCCGGATTCCCGACTACGCACGCTGACCTATGGTCCATAGAACGTAAGTCAAAGCAAATCCCTGCTCTTGCAATCTTCTTACTGCAATTCTTTGCCATCTTCGGGATTCAGAAGGATGGCATCTCCGAGCCCCTCCTGCGGCACCAACTTAAGTGATTCGTATACAGATACCAGGACGCACTCGTCCAAAGTTTCAGGGCGTAACTGTGGTGCGGTAATGATTGAGGGCAAACTTGCAGTGGGCATGCAGTCTCACGCGTCGAATGTCTAGGTATGACGTGGTAAAGATCAGACAGTACGAGGGCACAAATCAACAGGCACATCAAGGTTGTTGCTCGAAAGACGCATATATTCATCTATGCGGACCGCGGTTGACGGGCCCTAGTCGTCGAGTTGTCTACCCATAACCCCTAATCCCATGTCCGGGGGTTGAGTCCCTTATTTTTTTCCCGCTCCCCAAGAGTCGGGCCGAAGAAAGCAAAATACAGATGCCATGGTCTGGGGAATCACTATTCACAAGCCAACGCCTTTTTTTTGTTGAAAAATCTCGCAGCCAGGCCCCCCAAGCTTTTTGAGTTTCCAGCCCGTAACCGCCCCCAGCCGAGATTCCCTTCCCAGATGTGTCATGCAAGTCATGCTGTTGAGAACACACATTGCCAAATGTTATGGTGTACGCTCGTTGAAGTCATTAGTCGGAATGTTGAAGAAATCCAGTCGCTAAAAGATTGGACGATACAAAGAGGAAGCCGCTTAGTAGCGGTAGATGTCGCTCTTGTAGGGACCCTCAACGGTGATGCTGAGGTAGTCGGCCTGAGTCTTGGTGAGCTCGGTGAGCTCAACGTTGACGTGGGACAGGTGGAGTCTGGCGACCTCCTCGTCAAGGACCTTGGGGAGGACGTAGACACCGACGTCGAGCTTGCCAGCCTTGGCGAACTCGACGTACTTCTGGCCCCAGGCGGCGTCACCGGACTTGTACAGCATGATCTGGGCAAGAACCTGGTTGGTGAAGGAGCAGGACATGACGAAGGAGGAGTGGCCGGTGGCACAGCCAAGGTTGACCAGACGACCCTCGGCAAGGAGGATGATGTGGCGGCCGTTCTTCATCAGGAAGCGGTCGACCTGGGGCTTGATGTTCTGGACGCTCTGGGCGTTGGCCTTGAGCCAGGCGACGTCGATCTCGATGTCGAAGTGACCAATGTCTGGAGGCGGGGGTTAGTCAACTGGACTGGAGAAGAAACAGGTAAAAAGGGAGATTGGACATACTGCAGACAATGGCGTCGTTGGGCATGACGTCGAAGTGAGCGCCAGTCAGGATGTCACGGCAGCCAGTGGTGGTGACGAAGATCTGACCGCGGGGAGCGGCCTTCTCCATGGTGGTGACCTCGTAGCCGGCCATGGCGGCCTGGAGGGCGTTGATGGGGTCAATCTCGGTAACAATGACACGAGCACCCATAGTGTGCAGAGCCTGGGCGCAGCCCTTGCCGACATCACCGAATCCAGCGACGACGGCGACCTTACCGGCAACCATGACATCGGTAGCACGCTTGATTCCGTCAATGAGGGACTCGCGGCAGCCGTACAGGTTGTCGAACTTGGACTTGGTGACGGAGTCGTTGACGTTGATGGAGGGGACAAGGAGCTTGCCGTCCTTGAGCATCTTGTAGAGGTGGTGGACACCGGTGGTGGTCTCCTCAGAGACACCGTAGCAGCCCTTGAGCATCTCGGGGTACTTCTCGTGGACGAGGTGGGTCAGGTCACCACCGTCGTCGAGGATGAGGTTGAGCTTCTGGCCATCCTTGAAGGCGGACAGCTGCTGCTCCAAGCACCAGTTGTACTCCTCCTCGGTCTCACCCTTCCAGGCGAAGACGGGGACACCGGCAGCGGCAATGGCAGCGGCGGCGTGGTCCTGGGTGGAGAAGATGTTGCAGGAAGTCCAGGTAACCTCAGCACCGAGAGCAGTGAGGGTCTCGATGAGGACGGCGGTCTGGATGGTCATGTGCAAGCAACCGGCGATACGGGCACCCTTGAGAGGCTGGTCGGCAGCGTACTTGGCGCGAGTCTGCATAAGACCGGGCATCTCGTTCTCGGCGAGCTCGATCTCCTTGCGGCCGAAGGCGGCAAGGGACAGGTCAGCGACCTTGAACTTGTTGGCGGGGGCAGCCATTGTGAAGTTTGTGGTGATGGTAAAAGTTGGTTTGGGGAGGAGGAAGGGGGTATAGAAGAGGAAGAAGAGAAGAAGAGAGGATGAAGAAGGAGAGCAGGAGGAGAAGATTCAAAAGGTAGTTGGCGGGGGGAGGGCAGGTAGAAGAAGTAAAAAAAAAGGCTTTTGGACTTTGGAGGGGTTCAGACACGGACAGGGACGGCAGGAAGGCAGGGCGGTGTGTGAGTGCCTGAGTGGGAGTGCCAGAAGTGGGAGGGATGCGGGATGCGAGGGATGAGATGTCGGGAATCCAGACTGCCCTGAGGTAGGTAAGGTACCTTAGGTAGGTGAGAAATCTCTGCTGCTCCTGCTGTGTCAACAAAAGGTACCTCCTTCTTGCCTTTTTTTGCCTTCCTGGTGTTGCTGTGTGTCGGCGAAGCGCGGCGTAAGGTACGGTGATAAAAAAGGTACTTGTCTCTACATGATCTCCGTACCTACTTCCCAAGTTCACAAGTTCAGACTGAGGTATCCGCAGGTGGCCAGTGGTGGGAAGGAGGGGTAAAAAAGTGACTGGGGGACGGGGACTTCCTGCCTTTGCAGCAGGCCAGCAGCCCACCTGAAGCCTGAGGCGGGGCAAAAAACTTCACAATTCGATCCAATGCTCTTTCCTCCTCACCCACGCCGTGCCTTCCAATTGACTGAAGTCTCGAGGTGTGGCAGGCGGGGTGGGGTTTTGCCAGTGTCTGGTCGTTGTCTGGGCACCTCGTCCTCGACAGTGGACACACCATGTTGCTCTCTACTGGTCACCGATGCTCAGTCTGCTGGTCATGGCTCCGCGAGACTTTGGAGCTGATACAAGACGATAGCAAGAAGTACATGCTATCTGTCCATCAGTGCTGTTCTCAACCCAAGTACACCAGGTACCTACTGAGATGGAAAAGACGGACATGCCCCTCGGCTGATGATAGCTCCGACACCTACGGATACTGACTGCTGCTATCCCTCGCCATAACTCGGGTCCAACAATGCAACAGATGTACATTCCCTCCGTCACATATCTGACAATCAGACTTTCTCAAGGGCCCCAGAACCCTTCCCTTTTGAGCTTCTCTCAGACCATTTCCATGCGGTGAAAGGAGGCAAAAGAGGAGGGGCAATGTACCTACCCTACCATGCCGTAGCTAAGGTACGGATACGAATCAGATAGCTCGGCTTCCATTCCCCGGTACTTTTTTTTGGTTCTTTTTTTTCTGCCAGACTTTTCTCTCCGGTCCGCTGTCACTGGCTGAGGTGCTGGCTGAGGTGTCAGTCATTGTCTGGCCCAAGACACCGACTCCTGTCTCATCCAACGTCGTTCAATTGGCGTTTTGCATTTTCCCCTACCCTTCCAAGTTCCATTCGAAGCTCCCATTTTTGATAAGCCACAAAGGGCGGCGCACATGGAAGGCAAAGGGAGGGCTAGACCTAAGGGAGGAAGCTCTGGAATGTAAGCTCTACCTTAGGTAAGGTAGGTAGATCCCTTGAGTAGGTACCTCTGGTACCGGTAGCTCACCTCACCTCAGTCCAAGGAAGGCCCTTATTACGTTGCCGCTCGGAAACACAACTGCGAAAGCTCAGAGCACCCCGTAGGCCGGGACCGACCTACTCGGAGGTAAGGTATGTAAGGAAGGTAGCTTACCTTAGGTAAGGTAAGGTTAGGTCGGGTAATTAGAAAAAATACTGCCAATGTGAGTGAATTCAAAGGGAAAAGATACATTTGCCTCGCTCAATCCGCTTGAGGTGGGCGGCAAAGATACATGCAGATCTGATAGGGAGCAGGTACCTACCCTGATGGGGAGAAGACGGGCACCTCAGAAAAATACAGAAATGTGCCCCTCATTGACATTCAATTTTTTTTTTCTCCCATCTGGCCAGCAACAGCTTCAGGGCCAGCCGCTTGTGCCCGCCCGCGCCGCGCCAGGCGTGCCGCCGAGACTCAATCTGAGAGGTCGACCTCTTTTTGTTTCCCCTTGTTTTTACCGTTTTCTTGCGCTAGTCCCTTTTGAGCGTGAAACCCCTCGATTTGTGCCCCACCAACCATCGCCCTCGGGGAACACAAACGCACCACGTACCTCACTTCAGGACCGCTCCCTCTCGAGTAGACTGACTTTGGGCAGTATCCTCAACGGGACCAGACGAATCATGCAAGCCAGGGCTGTCAAAGCTAATAAGGACCGATGAGTACACTCTGTCGCTAATATATAGCATGGGTCAGGGACGATACTGGGGGTGGTCTTTGGGACGAGGCGTCTGAAGCCGACTTGTCCGGAGACATAGACGGATACTTCATATTTGCTGTTCAATGTGCTTGATTCCATCTTCTGCTTTACGGACGAGTATCCGCGGACAAAGCCAGCTAGGTAGGTAGCGCCTCACCGCTGGGCCACATACAACTTGATGTTACCACTGATAAACGCACTCGATAACCCACTGCTTGGCCGTGTTACCTTTTACTCGTGTATCCGGACGTATCATCTCCCAGGCAGAAAGATGGCCTCGAACCGCCGATATGCCATGTCCATACCATGACAGCCTCGTCTTTTCACAGCCTCACGGCTTCAAGATACCCCTTTACTCGCAAGACTTCAGTCGACGTCGGCCGTAGACCGTGGTAGGCCCGAAATATGCCGCGACCCAGAGAGGAAAGCCCGTCGCTCTGGAATGCAAGAAAAGACATCGAATATCGACTCAGTACACACTGCCTGGGACTAATTACCGTAACGCCGTTTCGAATGCTTTGATCCGCTGCCCCAGATCATTCATCATTCCCAGAACACCTGTTCTCTAAGGTAATTCCTCTCCTTTTTGTGTCTGCCCTCGCCTCGACTCTGCTCTCCTCCTCTGCACTGCACCCCTCCTTTCTTCGTCTCTCGCCGGCCTTCCGTTTTTGGTTCTTGTCCGTCCACATCCACGGAGCCGCGAAATAATGACCCAAGCCTGCCTTAAGCGTCCATCTAAGCCCGCTTGGGCAGCAGGTTCTCCCTGACGGCAAACATCTTGGCGCTGATGTTGGCCGTGAATCCATCCACCTGCTTGCTGTACTGCTCCACCTGCTTCGCGTTCAACATACCCTCCAACCGGCTGGGCTCCTGGGGCAGCTTGAACAGCCTCTGCCACTCGTCCTCGGGCAGCGGCGCCTGCTTGGCCGCCGCGCGCGCCGCGTTCTCGGCCTTGCGCTTGGTCTGCCACTGCGTGATCTTGGCCTGCTCGCGGCCGAGCTGGCGCTGGTAGAACTGGAAGTTGTTGAGGTCGGTGTAGTGGGACTCGATGCTCTCGAGCAGGAGGTCGCACGTCTTCTCGAGGAAGGGGTCTATCGAGAGGTCGAGGTTCTCGACCGAGGGGTGGAGCTGCTGCTTGAGGGGGTCGTCGCGCAGATCCGACAAGGAGTTGGGCGACTCGATCTTGTCCTGCTCGGGGAGGCCGGGAAGCTGGTGCAGGAACGAGGTCAGGAGGTGGGTGTTGTGAATCTCGACGGGGAGCTCGGCGAGAATGTCCTTGAAGGTGAGCTTAGAGGCTTTCAGGCTATAATGAGAAATGTCAGCATCCCAGTCGGTTTCCAGATCTTCATTTATAACAATCCAACATACCTCTCGGTCGTGAACTTGCCCTCCTTGTATGCGGCCATGAATGACGGGGTGAGCTTGAAAGCGCGCAGGCTCAGGGAGCCCTGGGAGCTGCGGCTGACGTCGTGGACGAGGGCGACTGTCCGCTCGTTGTCCTTCTGGTAGTGGTACTGGTTCTCGATGAAGCTGAGGTTGACAAAGTTGCCCATGGCAGCGCTGGTGTACCAGCCGACGTTGTTAGCGTCGACGTTGACCTCCTTCAGGTGCTTGATCATGTCGTTCTGGTAGACGATGTTGGCCTTCTGGCGGGGAGCGGCGGCAGCGAGGGCCGAGGCATCGTTCTGGTGGCTGTTTTGGTGGCTGTCGGTGCTTGCGACGTCGACCGTGGGGAACTGGAAGGTGTTTGTGATCTCGAGGAGACCGTCGGCGTCCATGCCGACGATGGAACCGGTGGCGGTCGTGGGGAAGGTCGCGGAGCCATGCTTGACGATTTTCATCACCACCTAGAGACACGTCTGAGGTTAGCGACATTACAACATCCTCTACCATATATCCCTCCATCATGACTGCACTGCAGCATGAAGCCCCAATGTGAGGAGAGGTGGGGCAGAATTCGGGCAGGACTCACAAGGGCCTCAACGCGGACCGCCGTGAGCGGCACCTCCTTGATAACGTCACCCATATTTGCGATACGATCGGAGAGAGATTCGTGCAGGTTCAAAAATTCGGTGACCTGGTTTTGAGTCTGCGGCTGCGGGATCGTTGGTGTCGCGTTAACTTGGCGGTCGGAATTCGAGGAGGGGGGCGGCAGTCGTCTCGTCGTGTTGCGAAATATCGAACTTTTCGCTACAACGAATTGTGGGAGGGATTGTGGGCTGTCGGGCGGTGTCAGGCGGCAGAGTTCACTGGAGAAAAGGTCTTGTGATATTCTCACCCCCTCAGGCTTCGTTAAGCCCACCCCCTCCGGACCGGCCGTGGACGGACCCACACCGCCGTCTTTCTCTCCCACGGTGATCCGTAACAGATTCCACACGCCACGTCCTGAATGGGAGGGCATCCCACTCATTGCCCCCACGCCGAAAGCACTCAAGTCGAGTTTAAATTCAACGTCGTCTCATCTCGTCGTCCTGCGCTTCCCTCCTTCCATCTTCCTCTTCATAACCTGGCCCATTCGACTCTCCTGCTCCTGAGCATCATTTTGCGATATCACTCGGGGGGTGTTATGTGCCCATGTCGAGTTGTACATGTCGATAAAATGGAAATGGTACATCACGGCCGTGATTCAGCGCCTCTGGGAGTCCGAGCTCTCTCACCTGCTTCAGTACTCACGATCATCCCCTCGTCTTTCGCTCCATCAACCAGATTGATTTGCAACAGGACCATCAATTGGATGCAAGTGTAAGGTGGGATAGGTACGGCGCGTTGGATCTATGCGTTTGTCTATTACGCCGTCTATGGAGGAAAAGCCAATGGTTTCTTGGCTGTATAATGCTAAAGTATTCAAATGCGCCCATGTCATACCCTCTTATGCGGCGTACCCTACGCTCTGTTTGTGGTGTCTCATTGCTCATTTACCAGCCCGATTGCGACATTTTCTCAAAATCACCAAACGCCGCAAATAGTCGCTTTTGTTTTACCTGCCCGTCCGTCTGAAAGAGGGTGCTCTCAGTCAACCCAATCGACAATCTCCCAGCTTTCGGCCCCGTCACGAACGATGAGGCGGTGTCGGTCAATCTTCCAGAACGAGTACATGGACGCTGTCGCACGACTTGCTCGGCGATGAGCCTGACCGTGGCCGGCTTTGACGGCATCTGGTCTCGACCGCCAGACGCACGTTGCCAAATTTCTTCCTTCTGAGTCGGGACTTCCGAACCAATACCTGTGGGCGAGTTAGTCTCTTGTCCTTCTTTGTCTCTGTTTCCTCGTCATTTCTCTTACTTCAAGAAACCCCCGAATTGGTTGGCTTCGGCATGCGCGGCCTTGTCCAGAACGCCGAGATCTTCGTAGATTGTTGATGGCGGGATCGTCGAGCGGAATGCCACAATGTAAAAGGAAGTTTCCTTGAATGTTTTCCCAGTGGATTGGACGAGGCGCTTGAGCTCGCCGAGAACTTGGTCCCAATTGAAGGATTCAACGTAGCCGGCCGTGGCGTAGTCCGCGCGGAGGCACTCCATCTGAGACAACGCCCTGGCGAGGAGTGCGTTCTCATCATCCAGGGTCTCGAGATCTAGCAAGTGCTCTGGTTCTGTATAGGGAGAGTGGATGAGGAATCTGTCCGTGTTGTTGATGTCGACTTCAGCAATGTTGATGGCTGTGTTCTCCTTGATGCTCTTGGCCAGAAGGTCGACGCCCAATGGGGCTGTGGTCACAACGGCAGTCATGACGATGATCTGGAGCAATGCCTCTGTGATTGTGCTGAAATGAAAAGCCGGATGGCTTTGAGCTGTTGGATCAAGGTATCCCAGAGGGCGCTTGAAGGTTTTGCCGTTCAAGATTGCCGAGAAATGATGTGGGTGAAGCAACGAGCGAGTGGTGTAAGTGGCAGACTCGGCTCAGCACAAGTTGAGGCTACGTTATGGTGTTTCGTTATGTGGGACAGAAGGACGACAAACATCTGAAAATCAAAAAGACGAAAGGACGAAAATGAGCGTCGAGACTGAAATATAAGAACAGCACAGCACAGCACACCATCCAGAGTCAGAGACGTGTCGGGCAGGGGGCGTCGAGGAAACGTCTTTTCGACACGGGATTGCCTAACCCAAGCCCAGGTGGGTCGGGAGCGACTAACACCTTACACACCGTCGAGCGACTCGGTGCGAGTCAAGTGCAGCTGACCAACCCGGTGTGCCGGTCAAAGAAGCGGTGTTCATCCCTCTACCATGCTCAGGCAGTCTGGGACCCCTTTTTCTGGGCTTTTGCATGGGACTGGACTTTGCCTAGGTAGCAAATCTGCGACCCGGGTGGGCTGCCAGGCGGGCACGGCGGGCTAACCCAAGATATGGATCATCTCAAAAAGAGAAAGAGAGAAGAAAAAAAGAATTTTGCCGGACGTTTGCATGCTATGCAGTAGGGGGGAAGCATGCAAGCATGGGACAGCCATGGATGATGGTGCGGTTCGGTACGGAGTACGGACGGTACCGATGGGCGCAGAGGAGCGACCAGTTTTGGAGGGATTGCGCAATCGGATGTGGTTCTGATGCCAGAGACGTGTGTAATTTTGGATATGATGCGCAATGCGCCTCTTGAGATTTGGACTCGGTTTTTTTTAGACTTTTAATTTCATTGGCACGACCATTTCGAGAAAACGGTAAAGGAAGGGAGTCGAGTTACACAGAAGTACGGGACACTTGAGTTACGTTTGCTAATTGTCAAAGCAGAAGCGCAATAAGAGCAGCACCGAAGAAGGGGGAAACATGGAGTGCTGGGTTAGGCGTACCTAGACATAGGATTTTGGGGCCAGAAACTCACCAGAAAGACTCTGGGCTAACGACAAAGGATGGCTTGCTCGTCTCTGGAGAAAAGAACGGACGGCCAAGCCTGGCTGGTTTTGGTTCTGGTGGTGGTGTTGCTTTAGAAGCCCAAACGACGAGTTGGAGCAGCGAGTTCCCCCGCATTCTTCACTGACGCTACACCGGGCCATGGCCGACCAAAACCGTTCTAGCCGTAGGGCTAACAAAAAGGTTGAGGTGGATGGGATGGTTTGGCAACGTTGGTAAAGGTAAAGGTACCTTATGGCAAAAGGAAGAAAAGAAGCAAAAGTTTGTGGAAGCCCTCAAGGTGCCACGGTGCGCATCTTTTTGCCTTCATCTCTGCATTCTGACTTTGTAGGGGCCGGCAGAGTTGCAACTTGTGCTCTATCACACCGAAACTATTGGCCGACAACTTTTGGCATCGGCAGGCTGGCGTATCCCGGCATCAACGTACCGGCGGGTAAATATCCACCCCAACAATGCGGCAACATTGGATTGTCACTGAGGTGGTCGGGTGTCAATGTCCAGGCCGTGTTTCGGAGACTCTCTTGTCTTCCTCAGTCACTCCCGCCGCTTCACTTTATCTCCCTATTCCACATCTGCGACTTTCAACAACCACCAGACGATTTGGCACGACGTGATCTTCGGAACGGCTCCCTCCATGCATCTCATATCATTGCCGCCCTTGATAAGTTGATGCTGATAACAGAAACCCAATTCTATAGATACACGTATCCGGAGAGATACACTTACAGCAAACTTTCTTAGGTTCCTGTCGCCGTCACCGCCGGTTGTTATCTCTCTCGAAATGCACCCTGCTAATCTCACATATGCACGTTTTCTCTGCTGCTTCTCTTCCGCCCGTCCTTACAGCCCTCCGACAACTTCCGATTCGTCCTTGCCCCGAGTGAGCCAGACCTTTGACATTTCGTACGTGCCCAGGTAGAGACCGCTGCCGACGGCCGTCCACACGGCACGCAACCCTCCACCGCGGAACAACCCGCGCACGCCGTGTCGTCGATACACGTCCCGCGTCACCTTCAAGCTGCCGCGCTTCGGCTTCGACCTAGGACTCGCCGACTTCTCAACATGTGAAGGCGACGAAGTGCTGTGGCTCTTATCGCCGGCTTCTCCCGCGCTCAGCATCATCCGCGTCTTGACGACGTCGCTCGGCGTAGTGATGAAGGCCGCAAACGCGCCCGCTGCGCCCGCGCTGGTACCCGTAACTACGGCTGTTTCTACGAGCCCTTGCTCTTCGCCCTCTGCCCTACCTTGCGACCGAGAGGTCCAGACCGTGTTTCGCACGTGCTCAAAGATGGGGAATTGAATTGCGGTAAAGGGGAGGTTGCGCGCGACGAGGGCTGTGTAGCCGGAGAAGAGACGCCTCTGCGCCCCGGAACTTGTGACTTGTCGCAGGGCCTCGAGGGATGTTGATCGCCTGGTACCGTTGCCGCTGTTGTCTTGCTTCCGTAACATTTGCGCATTTTGCTTGATGACTTCTGCTGGTGCGAGAACTAGGCATGAGCCCATCTCTGCGATGGCCGAGGCCGAGGCATGCACAAACGGTTGAGGGAGCAAATCAGTGCTGGAGATAGTTTTTTTCATGCTTTCATACGTGGCGAAGAATATCCCGGCTGGCAAGTTTGCAAGCTTATCAGTACCGTTCATATCGTATCTCGCCGTGATGCGTGAGAACACATTGGAGACTTTTGATGTACTAACCTGCCGGTAATGTGGCCAGCACCACACTTCCAATGCCCTGGTAAAGGCCCCGGAAGAGGGGCGCTTTGCTTCCTGATGTTGAGGCATACGTCTTGACAAAGTCTTGGCTCTGATATCTGGTCTTGATGGTGTCTAGAGGGTAGACGAGACAGTCTACTGTGAACGCCGCCGCAGCACCGGCCTGGCTCTGTCAGTCGAGAGCGAGGGCTTAACCGCCCCAGGTAGAATGTACTCACAGCGTATATTTCATACATTTTGGAATGTTCTCATGTATTTTGACACCAATATCGATGAGAAGCACTGCTCATGTCTTTGAGATAAGTCGCAAATATCGGCAGGTTTGGCCATGTCACTGGAGCGATGAATGACATCATCCTTGCTGAAATGGGCTCAGTCCAGTGCCCTTGATAGTACTTGCCCTGAGGCATCTGAAAGTGACAATCATTTCACTACATCTGGAGGCTTCCTTGCTTGAGTTTGTTAACACTGCCTTGATTCGTTTGAAGAAAACATCACAAGGAATATTTACAACCATAATCATTTCAGCTTCTTCAACTGCTTGAATTCATTTACACCGATGGAGTGAGTGGCTGGAGCTGTGTGTAGGTAATGTGGCTGAGGTGGACCCCTGGAGCGATAAGATAAGGAACAGAAAGTGCCCCGCCCCCGCCATGCGCTGGTGTGCCGTGCCGGGTCGATTGATTGACTCTGACCAAAACTTTTTTCTCCTCCGCCTTCGTTTTTTCTTCTCGCCGCAAAACACACGACCGCCAACAACACGCATATTCCCATTTTCCAGCAAGCAAGCATTCAAGATGGCGAGCGCTATCGAAGCCGAGGCCGAGGCGCCTCACAACATGTTTGACGTACGTCTACTCCCTTCCCCCTCATCAATGCCCCCCAATGCGACCCCCAGGAACTTTGACTGTGTGGAACCCGCTGCCCACAACACATCGCGGTCACCGACACGACCAGCCAGTACCTCGAAAAAGTGCTAAAATTCTCGAAACCGACCTCCCGAAATCTCCTATTCGCGAGAAGCTCTGCATTGAGTCGACATTGCGAATCGAAATACCCTGCGACAGTCTTGGATCACGACTACTGCCGCGTGCGCGAGTGCAACACAACTTAAGGGCGTAGTGGGAGTCATACCGGAGGAGTCGAAAAAGCAGCAGTCAATTGACCGCGCAGAACTTCCTCAATACCAGAACTTGTATAATCGGGTATGCGACGAGCTTTAGCACACAGCGCGCGCCTATCGAACCCTTCCACTCGAACTCTCGATTCTCCACACAACCACAACGAGTCATCAGGCGTCAACGATGTCGATACAGTCAAAGTTCTTGGGGGCTGCAAAAGTCATGTTGCTTTCGGATAACTGACAAACTGCGATTTAGACCATCCTCGTTCTCGACTTTGGTTCCCAGACCAGCCATCTCATCCTCCGTCGCCTGAGATCCCTCAAGGTCTACGCTGAGATGCTGCCTTGCACAACCAAGCTGGCCGATCTTCCTTTCAAGCCCAAGGGTATCGTTTTGTCTGGCGGTCCCTCATCCGTCTACGACCAGGACTCTCCTCGTAAGGAAACCTCTTGAGCAAGTAGAGTAGAGCTCTTTCTGATACTGTAAAGACGTCGACCCCGCGATCTTTGATCTCGGTGTTCCCATTTTGGGTATCTGGTATGTCAGCCATTACGTTCATTGCGAAAATATGTACTGATTGACCTGTGTAGCTACGGTTGCCAGGTAATACTCGATCCGATATTTTCCCCTGATTTTCGACTGCACAGGGACGCTTCCTCGTCGTACACCATGACTCCGGCGGTACATTCTATCGAGACGAACAGCCGGCTGATTATGCGCAGGAACTTGCCTGGAGAATCAACTCCAAGAACGTGGCTCGTGGAGAGGCCCGAGGTCAGTCACTCTTAGGGGATCAAATTGGGATATAGAACAGTCACTCTGACCTGTCCATTATGCAGAGTACGGTCACGCCGATGTCACTATCCTCAACTCCGGCAACTCCCACACCGATCGCCTCTTCGCTGGTCTGGGAGAGACAATGCAAGGTGAGCGAGCTTCCGAATTTTGCAGACGTCCCTTGATACTCTGTTTCCCAACGCTGACTTTGACGGTAGCATACATGAGTCACTTTGACAAGGTAAATTAGCCTTGGTAGAGAGCGGTTGGACGTTTCCAAGCAGTTGATCTGACATCAATGCAGTTGGTGGCTCTTCCCGAAGGATTCACCGTCGTTGCAAGCACGGCAAACTCTGAGTATGCCGGAATCGCCCACCAGACCAAGCCAATCTACGGTATGTCGATCCCGATCAAGATCCAACATCATGCAGTCTGGCGAATCCACGCCAACTCGTTCTATCATTTATTATCCTCTCTGCGCTTTGGACTATGGCTAAGTTAATACTCTGAATCTTACAGGCGTCCAATTCCACCCTGAGCTGGTTAGTCCTACCAAATTCTCCTGAACCTCTGTAGGAATTCGACTAATTCTTCATAGGAGCACGTAAGTTAAATAACTTCCGAAAATCCTCTTAGCACGGAGGCGTTTTCCTCGCCGAGTACGGCGACCATCTTCCGGCGATCAGCATGGCGCCCGTTATGGGGCCGTTGATTATTATGGAGAACCGCCGGCTCAGACACCATCCGCACAGTTTTGATGACACGAACGCACACTGACATAGCAACTTAGACACCTCGCGGCAGTGAGATCTTGAAGAACTTCGCCGTTGATATCAGTGGTGCCAGACCCAACTGGGTGATGGAGGACTTCATTCAGAAGGAGATCATCCGCATCAGACACCTTGTCGGCGACAAGGCACAGGTCATCGGCGCTGTCTCTGGAGGTGTCGATTCCACTGTCGCCGCCAAGCTTATGAAGGAAGCCATTGGTATGACTGGATGCTCATCCAAGAAGCTCAGGAGGAGACTAACCTTTCATCAGGCGACCGCTTCCACGCCATCCTCGTCGACAACGGTAAGCACTCCAGCACCACAATCAGCGCAAAAACGGCATACTGAGTCCAATGTGATAGGCGTCATGCGTCTTAACGAGTGTGAGCAGGTCAAGGAGACTCTTGAGAAGCACCTTGGCATTAACCTCACCGTCGCTGACGGAGCTGAGTTGTTCCTTGGCCGCCTGAAGGGTGTCACCGAGCCCGAGAAGAAGCGCAAGATGTCAGTATATTTGATTACATGTATTGACCTCTCTAATACGGTAGCAGCATCGGCGCAACCTTCATCGACCTTTTCGAGAAGGAGGCTCTTAGACTGGAGAAGGAGGCCGAGAACACCGAGAATGCCGGACCCATCACTTGGTTCCTCCAGGGCACACTTTACCCCGATCTTATCGAGTCCCTCTCCTTCAAGGGACCCAGTGCGACTATCAAATCTCACCACAACACCGGTGGACTTCCGGAGAAGATGAAGGTAAAGATTCTTCTGAAGCAGCTGGAGTGTTTACGGGAAGGGGGTCTTCCGCTTCCCTGGTCGCTAGACCACACCGCTTCCAATCTCTGTCCTCTGTTTACTCTAGCTAACTTTCTTGCAGCTCAAACTCATCGAGCCCCTCAGAGAATTGGTTCGTTTCCCCAAGCCCTCTTCCGTCCTCATCCTGTGATCTGTCACACTCGGATGACAGTAGGACATGTACTCAAAGCGGGGTTTTGTCTATTTGATCGACACGAAACTGCGTCGCACTTTCACTGCATTTTCGCTCTCGCTTAGAGTATTTTCTGCGTCCCATACTGACTTTCACAAATAGTTCAAGGATGAGGTTAGAGAGTTCGGCAGACAATTGGGCATCCACCAGGATCTGGTCATGCGTCACCCGTTCCCCGGCCCCGGTGTAAGTACCAGATCGCCAGCCGTCCAACACCTAGCTAGTCTAACACCAGTCAGATTGCCATCCGCATTATTGGAGAGGTGACACCCGAGAGAGTCGCCATTGCCCGTGCTGCCGACAACATCTTCATTTCTATGATCAAGGAAGCCGGAATCTACAACGAGGTGAGTGTCAGCCCTTTAACTTTTCTGGCACAGTCGCTTACCGACCATTTTCTAGATGTCCCAAGCATATGCTGCTGTGGATTCCAACAAGGGTACGTCGCCAGACTTTTGGTGTTCAAAACCTGTCACGCCGGCCGGTTTTTTTTACTAACGAGTGATGTCTCTGCAGCTGTTGGAGTTCAAGGTGATGCCAGAGTATGTCCCCCCCTTCCAATATGCGGATAATGCAGATGACTAACTTTCCTAGGTTTACGGCTACATTATCATGTAAGCGCCGTCACCAATGCCCCTCTTGCTAGCAATCTTGCTCGCTTGTCTCCCTGTCATCTCCCTCGATCAATCGGCTGACAATCAATCTTAGTCTCCGCGCCGTTAAGACTCTGGACTTCATGTCCGCGGAGCCTTACGAGTTCGACTTCAACCTCCTCAAGAGGGTATGACTAGCCCCTCCTCCTCCTCGTTGTCTTTGGTTACTGACTTTCATCCTCCAGATCTCGACCCGTATCATCAACGAAGTTGACGGCGTCGCCCGCTGCACATACGACATCACGTCGAAGCCCCCCGGAACGATCGAAATGGGTTCGTAGCTTGAATCACCTATCTCATCTTTGCAGGTACTCATTAGGACCCATCGCTAACTGAGAACAGAGTAAAATTGGGAACTTTGGATAGAACAAGTAGATTCAGGCTTGCAAACTCACGTCTTTTTTCGTCAAAACTTTGGATCCCTCGGTGAATATCAGTCGAGCCGAACCGTGGCATGGATTATCCGCGAGGACGAATCAGAATGTTGCCGCAAAAGCCACGTTGGACGAGAGTTCTATCGTTCGTGTTCGTGTCTTCATCTCGCATCATCATTGCTCAGACTGCATCTAATGGAGCATTTTGACGACTTCAGCATTGTCATTTCCTTCATTCGACCGCAACCAACGTGAAAGCAAGACAGCTTGCGATCCGGCAATGCCCAAAGCAGACGCTGCCTGGCGTGCCCAAGCTAGTCAGCAGTCCGCGCATGTCGATCTCCCTAGTCTGCGAAACCATCCCGCTAACAGAAACAGACGTACCGGTAACACCACTTTGAATTCGCTGGCGTCCAACCCAAATCACACCAATGATGGAGAACTTCCTCGGTTTCTGCTGAGAGCCAAGAACCTTGAGCATCTTTGCTGCACATCTACGACATGACGAGTATCATTCGTCTCTGGAAGGTCTTCATTCCAGCCTTGGCGACGTCGCACCGCTTCGAAAGCCTCTTTTAACGATGCAGCAGCGGCACGTCGAGCTGCACCACCGGTCATCGGCCGAAACGCCCCAACAGCACCATACAATTAACCTGGAAGGACCAGCAAGATACGGAAGGCAGATTTTCAAGGCCCGCCGACTGCGGATTTGCCCTGCAAGAAACCCCGGGTCTGCTTGCTGTCAAGCTCGGTCTTGCAGATCTCATCCGGGCGGGGCGGTCCCATCTTCATGCTGTGCCACCGCCTTGACATCTCGAGTTTGGTTTCACGCAATTTGATGTCATGTTAGAGAAAGAGAGAACGACAGACACTCTTTTCGCGACCGAATGAGTTGATCCTGGAAGCGGCTTCACTCTGTTCTAGAAAATCCCACAATTCGCAACGTCGCACGAAACGCGCCCCGTTTTTAGATTGCTGTTTTAACTTATTTGCCATGTGGTCTTCCAGAAGGCGCTGCTGAAGAGTTGAGGCGAGCGCCTCAGGAACAAGGGGGAGATGAGTTCAGGTTTTGCCTCGTTTCCTGCTCCTGTCTTGGATCACGAATCTCAGCCACCTCGGCTCCAGCTGCGAAGGGCGAATAAGTGAGGGCAAGAAGGCATGGCCTCCACGCGATATTCACGTTCGATAGCCCGCCTTCGTCCGCCTCGAGACCTTCTAGATCAGCGCCTCACTATATTTACTGAAGTTTTGTATTCCCACATACTTATATCGCCTCCTCATGGCCTCCGGAACGAAATTCGCAACCCGGGATCCGAACAGAGACAACGCCACGGGCTCGATAGAACATTCCAAAAGGGTTTCTGTTACATTTCGAAATCGTTAGTTCCAACGATGGAAGGCCATGATTAGCCATCACGGGGGGTAAATGGGCTGACTGTCTAGGCCCGGCTGAGGTCTTGAAAGGCAGCCATGGCTTGAAGAGTCTCATGCAATGGCGTTGACGAGCCACGCGAGTTGCGCGCGCTAGATTCGGCCGCGGAGAAATTGGCAATTAATTACGCCGTATGACAGACGAGACAGGCACACACATAACACGCACACACTTAGCGAACACACGCACACTTGGCGGATGAGGCCCAATGGTCTCGTGATGCATCTGCGCCTAACGCCGAATGGGAGACATTTCACGTCTGGTGGGTGTGAATCGCCTCACTCAGCACGGCTGAGTGTTGGCCCGGAGGATACACTCCTTCGAGTTTGCCGACTTACGCCCAAATGCGACTCTACAGTTGCCAATCATTCGCAGAAAGCCCGCTGCAGTCAGCCGTCAGTTGTATTCATTAGCCAACTTTGTGTCATTTCTTGCGTATAATGTCGCGGATCGTGATCTACAGATAATTACTCAATCGGTGCCGTACGTCTGTGTACTCCGATGGATCGGTACCGTGTAAGTGGTCCTTGGGCCGAGGTTTTGGGAGAGAGAGTAAGGGTTAGAACACAACAAACCAAACACCAGACAGAGAGAGACAAACCCCTCATCGACGATTGAAGCTGTTTGTTTGGGAAAAGGTTAACTTGAGCGGGAAACGGCCGTGCATGTTGTAAGTGAGAAGTGAGAGATTCCCTCAGCTCAGCCTCCTCCTCACCAACAACATTTCGGTCAGCTAACAACATCGGTCCCGAGGACTGCCCTCCATGTCAGATGGAATGGCAGCGCTAGGACGCTCTCATCGCCGTCATCCCCCACTTTCGTAAAAGCCCATGCCCGTTTACTGCCTCGTGTGCAAAATTCCCATGCTTCGTAAACGAACAAGTGTTGACTTTGCGGTGGCTTTGGAACCATACAGCTTGCCCCTTTATTCGGGGGCTGAACAACATTTCTCGACAACCAGCCCTTGCCAATGGATTCAGCCAAAGTTGCACCAGCCTGCCTGAGACAGCATGTACCACCCCGCCTTCACCACATAGTGGTGGTTGTTGATTGTATTACCTCGAGCACGAGGTTGACTGATGTGCAAGCATCTTGTTGGAGGGAAGCGGGCCCATGTGGCTGCTCCAGAAGGAAGGGGGACCGGTGTGTCCAATATCAGACGGTGATGCAAAGCCAAATCAGGAAGATGGACGTCCACGGCAGGGCTCAGCTCTCTCCAAAACACTAAGTCGTCCTAAGATTGCTTTGGTCTCGAGTCTATTGTCCTTTATTTCCTTTGTTTTACATTGGAGTGTTATAAAGTTGGAGGGTTCGTCCACTCTTTTTTTTGGGTTTCCCGTCTGGAAGATCACCAACAACCACTAACTGGCGCTTAAACTTAGTCATTCGCTTGGATGCCGATGCCGCCATCACCAATTTTCACTCAAAGACTCCACTCTGACTCGCACTTTGAATAACACCGATCTACAGACGCACTAAAGTTACTATACCTTATTCTCACTTCTATGCTTTAAGCCTCTTTGGGATCTGTACCCTCAAAAGTCTTGGGGAAAAGAAGTAGTAGTATTCGACTTCCCCGGTCGATATCCCTGTCTTACCAATCTCAACTTACATACTTACACACATACTCACACACGACAAAATGGCGTGTCCATTCCTTCAAGGCACGCTCGCCCAGCCGCCGCGGCAAATCTCAGCGGAACAAGAGTTCGCCAACATCCGCTCACAATACCCATCTCTCTCTTCAACGGGCTGCACGACAAAGTTTTGCCAGTCCGGTCGGATGACGCACATGGACGAGGAGCGCGTCGGCCGGAATCAGTCCTACGCCCAAGTCCGCGAGGATGCGCTCGACTTCCTCCAGCAAATGTACAAGGACGGTCTCATTGACACGGAGCAGCTGCACCACCGGGCACACGAGGTCCTTCAGGAGATTCAAAAGAACTCGACAGAGGGCAAGTTCACAACGGCGTCCGAATGCGGATCGGAGGCGCCACCGGCAGCAACGGTCGGCTTGGTGGGTGGCCTGTGGACGCAGACTTTTGAAGAACTCGAGTTCGGGCTTCGGACGGCTTGGAAGCATGCTCGGAAGTGCATCATGCGATCAGAGTATAGCAACTTGAGGTATGAGAAAGATTCGGAAGCGATTTTGAGTTAGTTACTAATACTCTCTGGCAGGCTATGCGACCTGAGACATGTTCGCACGAGCAAAAAGATGGCCGAGACTCTTATTGAGAACTTGAGAGTGGCCTACAACTCGGGTGAAATCAACCCGACAGTCTTTGTCTTCCCTCCCAGAGACATTGACAGCCGCGGTCCCATGATCTGGAACTCACAACTCTTGTCCTTTGCAGGGGTAAGTCTTTCTCCCCTTCCATACGAGAACCGAACAAGTCGACTAACACGGATAAAGTACCAACAATCAAACGGCACAATCCTCGGAGACCCCGCCAACGTGGAACTCACAAACGCCATTATCGAGCTCGGCTGGACACCGCCGCGCTTCCGCTCACAATGGGATCTGCTTCCCCTTGTCACCATGGCCGAGGGAGAAGAGCCCGTCATCACCGAGCTCCCCAAGGACGCATTCCCTCTGGTGCATATCCGCCATCCCAAGCACCCCGAGCTCGAGACCCTTGGCCTGCGTTGGGTTCCTGCGCCAGCACTCAGCCGCCTTGGCTTTAGCATCGGCGGTGTCCAGTACACCGCTGCGCCCTTTATTGGGTGGTGAGTTTAACTTATTCTGAGGTGCAAGAATTACATCACTGACAAAGCAAACGCAGGTTCATGGACGCCGAGATTGGTGTTCGCAATCTCGCAGATTCCTTCCGCTACAACGCGCTTCCGCAGGTCGCCAAGGCGATTGGCTTGGTCGATGGCGATGTAGATGACCTCCCAGACTACGAGCGTCTGGCGGTGCTGGTAAGCATCTCATCTCTTACATATTGCTTACACCTGAGATGCGTCTGCTAACATTACCAACCAGTCCCGCGCGCAGCTCGAGCTCAACTACGCCACATACTGGTCCTTCGCTCAGGCGGGTGTCAGAATGTCAGATTCCCTTGGCGCGGCCGAGCAATTCGCCCAGTTCGATGACGAGCACCTCATGAACAACGGCTTCCGCCTCCCCTCTGACCCGTACTGGCTGGCACCGCCTCAAGGATCCATCATCCCCATCTGGCACCGCGGCGGCTCACCAAACTACCAACCGAAGCCCTTGATCTGCCGCCACGCCCAAGATCCCATCAAGGCCTGGCGCCGACAACGACAGGCCCGCCCCGCGGCGCGGCCTTCTCACCACTTCGCCTCGGACACGAAGCTCAACATCTCCATCCCCGTGGTGCCGTCCATCTCCCTCACGAGGCCCGTCACGCCAGTCTCCCCCTTCGGCACCGCCTCTTCCCCGCCGACCTTTCTCCCCATCCCTCCTCCGGCCTCGCAGCAGCAGCAGCAGGTATTCAGGCCCACCACGCCTCTGACGCCGTTGAGCCCCCGGGGGCCCGGGCGCAGGATCTATATCGGATTCTGCAGCTCGGGCAACGTCGCGATCAAGCTTTGCAAGAGGCTGTGCGCGCAGCTGCAGCACGCGTGCGACATCAACCCCAAGTTGGGGTCCGTCGTGGTTCCGTGCACGCTCAATGCCCTGCCCATCTCCATGGTCGAGCCCGATGACGTGCTGATCATCGTCGCCAGCACGACGGGTCGCGGTGAGATCCCACAGAACGGCAAGGCCTTCGCCGATGCGCTGGCGAGGAACCCCAAGGCCATCTCGTGCCAGTATGCCATCTTCGCCAACGGCTCGCTGGAGTACGCCGACACCTACAACCAGGCCGCCATGGACATTGAGGAGCTCCTGAGCAAGGGTGACGCCCAGAGACTCATTGGCATGCGTGAAGCCGACACCGCGACAGAGAACCCTCCGTGGTCTGTCCTCGGCCAGTTCTTCGATCAGGTTCTCGCGGGGCTTCAAAAGTCGAGCCCGCCACAAGACGAGAACAAGACGAGTGACGTGCAGCGGACCGCTCGCCAGGCTAGACCCTTTGACACCCGTCCGTGGTTTCTGGCAAAGGTCGTCGGGCAGCCTGTCCTGGGCACCGCCGCGGACGGCATGAAGAGGGTCACCCTCGACCTGGGCGATCGCGAGTACCCGACCATGGGCAGCGTCTGGATTCTGCCGCCAAACTCCCAGAACAAGGTGTCTCGCGTCCTGGGCGCCCTCGGCGTGCAGGCCGACGAGCGGCTGAGTCTTCCCGGTGAACCTACCGTGGGGGAGTTCTTCCAGCGGTTTGCCGACTTGGACCAGCCTTTCAAGTCTACACAGTGGGCGGAGTGGCTGTCTCTTCCCCAGCCGGAGACTCTGGCTAAGGTTCCAATTGAGAATGTGGTCCACCAGATTCCTGCCAACTGGAGACAGTCCGTGACGCTGGACGTGCTGTGCAACGCGATGCCGACGATCCAGCCGAGGGAATACTCCATCGCCTCTGACGGTTCGAGAACGAAGCAAAAGAACGGAAACACGCTGGATCTTCTGGTTCAGCACCACCCCAACGGCAAGTTCTCGGACAAGTATCTCAACTGCTTCGAGACCTTTGGCGCCGCGACCTGCAAGATCCGTCCTTCGTCACACCTGCAGGCCATGGCCGAGAACCAAGACAAGCCGATGATCGTCTTCACAACCGGATCCGGCATGGCTCCTGTCCGCGGACTCCTGCAGAACCGTCTTCAGCGTCTTCGTTCCTCGGGCGACAAGTCCGCCAAGGGCCCCGCGATCAGCCTCTTTGCCGGCTTCAAGGCGGCCGACGAGTCTCTCGTGCGCGAAGCGGTACAGGAAGCAAGCGAGGCCGGCATCCTTGATATCCTCAGGCTGACGGGGAGTAACAAGGAGAAGAGGAGGGCGCAGGATGCGATGCTCGAGGCTGGCGTCAGGGAGAAGCTAGTAAAAAGCATCGAGGATGGCGCTCTCGTGTTTGCGTGCGCTAGGCCGAGGGCCGTTGATGATTTCTTGAATAATTTGAGCGAGGTGTTGGGTCGGGATGCTAGGGAGGTGTTGGGCGATCGGTTTATTGCTGATGTTTACCAGCCTGCTACTTGAGGGCGTTTCTTGAGCCTTTTCTCATTTTCCTTTTTTTTTTCTTTTTTCATGGCATGCGCATTATAGATTAGACGGCGGATTGGGTTGATTTAAAGCGAGGCGTTGGCGGATTTCATATTGTTATAAGAAGGGTGAAGAATCGAATATTCTATGTAGAAGTACTTCATGAAAAGTCATATTAGAATCCAATTAACTTGATCAATAACTCTGTCTTTATGTGGCACCATACATGCTGTAACTGGGCTTTACTTGTGCCTTTAGGTCTAGATAGTTCTCTCTGAATACGATAGTAACGCATCTCGGGTGGCTGATATTTAGTGCTCGGTGACGGAGACCATCCATTTTTGTCCAAGGTATCTCGTAATGCCCTTGATCAATGTTCTTACTTCATTCCCGATTGTATCACTTGATTCCGATTCACGTTGCAGATATGCATATGATTTACAGCCTTTCGGCAGATTCATAACTGTTGTACATCATGATCATAATAACCATACAATGCTTGGTATCCTTCCAGAATCCATAACATAACCAAAGTAATCCCTATCAGACTCCCGAATCCTCACCCTTTACCGAGGGTTCTCGGCCTCAGCAGAAGCCTGCGTCACGCTCTCAGGCGCAATGTTCCCCTCCGCCGAGATGCTATCCGGCACGCTCTCAGGAACATAGTAATCCGAACCGCGGAACTTCTCCCCGCCAACACCAGGCGCCTTGGTGCCCACATTATTCCGCACGGCACCCTCGCCCTGCAGCAGGATATCGTCCTTCTGGTCCTGTGTGCCGAGCGAAGAGATCTTCTTGGCGGGAACGACGTCGTCGTCGTTGTCGGCCGGGTTCTTGGGCGGCTGCTCGGGCTTGTACGAGACGTTGTTGATCGGGTCGCCCTGGACGGTCACCGTGGCGCCCGGGAAGCGATTCTCCGTCTGAATGTTGGAGACGCCGGCGTCGTCGTTGCCCTGGGGGCGGGCGGCGCCCGTTTTGGATTGGTATGTGTTCATGTCGAGTTGGGCCTGGGCTGCCGTCTCCATGAGCTGATCCTTTGAGGGTGCCATTTTTGTATGTTGTAGTTGTAGGATTTGACTTGAGTCGTGGTTTGAAATGTTGGGTATAAGTGGAATGAAATGGTGATCCTTGTGAACGAGTTGTTTGAAGGTTGTGTTTGGAGGCCTGGTCTGCTTGATACTGCAATGATGAGTAGGCATTCTACGGTCTGCAATCATCAACTTATGTACTCTTCTTCGACTCTGATTCAGCCTTGCCATCTCAAGCCAAACCTGGCGACGTCATCTTCGTGATATCACCCATCGCTGTGCGATGAAATCACTACATCCGCCAAATTGTGGTGCTGGTGGGGACGGTTTTATCTCATCGATATCTCATCGACACTGATCGAACTGCCCAGATGCCACGCCACCACCGCATTATCGTCCAAACCCCAGAGACCCTCAATGCGGCCATGATTTGGACAGAAAATCCACGGTTTGACGTAGAGGTGATATCAGTACCCCTTCAAAGCTTTGCTGCGTGATCGGCGCTATACATAGGATGAATCTGAATGAGCGGGCCGGCCCCGGTGGGCTCCGTTCCTACGGGCACTTTGCTCCGGAAAGTTGTTGAGGCCCGCCCAGAATTCTGTTGTAAGCTCATTCTCAGTACACAACCTCTTTGTTCACATCATATTGTCCAATCTGAACTTTCATCTCTCAAGTGAAGAACTAGGTATCATTTGACTCTGCGTTACAGCCCTGAATCCCAAGTAAGGGCAGCCTATGTTTCTTTTTCTTTTTCAATCAAAGCCAGCATAGCGTGCTGTCGAGATGACTTTGATGCACGCTGTGATGGTCGAACATGTGAGTGCCCAACTGCATCCTGCAAATCACATCCTAGGCTTGAAAATCTTGAACCACAAAATCCCTCCGATTCATCAACGCCTTGTTTCCGATGCTATTGCTCGGCCCCTGGCGCGTAAAAACGCCCCAAACTAACCGTCGGTGCCGCTGCTGCGGAAAGTGGCGCAAAGTGCAGCATAGTGATGGGTCAGATCGAGCACGTTCTGAGGGAGGCTGGTGGCTTGGATGATACTTCTGATCTTGACTGCACCCTCGTCCTCAATGAGTGTCCGAACTGTGTGGAGGAGCTCTGGTGAGAACTCAGAGTACCATCTGTACTGCCAGGTGACGAGACGAATGACCGATGCAACGGTTTCGCGAGTGTTCTTGCCCTCCTCAAACACACGGAGGATGCCAGTCAAGGCCTTGGGGCTGAATCTTGCGGCGAGGCATGCTCTATAGGCCTCGACAGCTTCTTCTGGGTGTTGAAGTCTCTCCGCCAGAGAGCCCAGAATTTCCCACTCCTCAGCCGACTTCTTATACTGCATAGATTGCGCGCGATACTGGGCCATTTGCGTGCGCCAGATCGTGTAGACGCGCAGATCCTCATACAACACCATGAAGAGGCTGTCAAGCCAGCGCTCGCAAAGCCGCTTGTTGTTCAGCTTAGAGAGATGGTCGTCGGTCTGCGCACCCTGATTAGTGTTAACATGGCTTCAGCCAAGGGGAAGACTGAACACTTACATTCTCCGCATCGCCCTTCAGTTCACCAGGGTCGATGGCATGGGTAGGCTTCTCCACAGCCTCTGTCTGTCCATTTGGTGCCAATGTCTCGGCAGTGGAATCAGTATCCGCTGGTCTCGCCTTCTTCTCCTCATCTCCCTCTTCGTCGTCACTTTCCGAGTCTGATCGGTCGCCATTCGTTGTCGCGTCTGGGGTTCCACGAAGGCCGTCGGTGCTGGGGTTACGCTGAGGCTGCGAGGTTTCCTGCTTCTCGGAGCGGTATTCGTCCTCCATGACAAAGACTGTGCTTCTAATCTTGAGAAGCTGATCCCATCCAATCTTTGAAGTCATCTCGGTCAGGATGCCGTAAGCCTGCTTGAAGGTTCCCTTATAAACCGAAGCACGAAGGTTCAGGAGACTAGCATCGACCTGCTCAGAGTATCTAGACTCGGGTTCGCTGTCAATCTCATCCAAGCGGGTCTCGGGAAGAGTTGGGAGGTGAACATCCTTGGGCTCAGGCATTTGAGGCGCGTCCTTGTCCTGATATGTGAACATGGGGCAAGAGTTGAGGATGGTCAAGGCATTCTCCCAGTCCTCCATTGCCACGTAGACTTGCGCCAGTCTCGCCCATGTGCCGAATTCACTAGGAGCGGCAATGGTACTGCGGTCGGCGCAGCCCAGGGCCAATCGAAGTCTCTCCTCCTTCAACTCTGGCGTTGCGGCTGTCTGCGCCTTTCTGAGGAGGAACTCGGCTTGCGTATCGAGCATAACGTAGTCCATCGGCGACTCTTTTAGTGCCTGATGCAGCACCTTGACACCTTGGACTTCCTCATTGCCCATGAAGAGGACCTTGGCCAAGAGGGAGGAGACCTCGATGTTTTGGTCTCTGAGTTTCTCGAAGAGGTTGATGCCGGAAGCATGGCGCCCTGTGGTCTGGAAGTACTTCAAGAGGCCCGCGGTCAGGTGGTTCGAGACATTGTTCGGCACTTGAACGACAGAGTCTGAGCCCAGCTGCCAGCCTACGATACCGTTAGCACAGAAACCCTGAATTGTTCTCAGATGTATGCGTACCTCGGAAGAAGAGCTGCTCGGCGGCGCCGAGGAAGCGATGTTCGGTTTCGGTGTTGGTAACAGGGTTGTATCTGCGCACACCCATAATCTTCCGAATCGTCTCTCCGCTACCATCATCCGCGTAAGAGTAGGCTCGAAGGACGCTGCACAGGTAGGTCTCCAGCCACAAGTCATCCGTCGCCTTGCGCTTCTCGCCTCGCTCGTCCACACAGTAGCTTTCGACGGTTCCAGGGATCGTTACATGAACCCGCATGTCGAGTCGAGAGAAGGCATTGTAACAGCTAGCAGAAGATCAGCCACTCGAACTCTGTGTTGATGTTGAAAAGGTTCGCGTACCAGTAGAGACCTTCCGAGATCTTCGTTTGCACAGCCTGGCCATGCTCGCGGTAGGTCAGGGTGTTGATGTAGGCAGCAAGGCTGGCCGAGGACGAAGCGTCGACACCGGTGACGTGGTGGTAGACTCCGATCTACAGCACGACGCTAATTAGCACAGATATAGGTTTGTTGGATGTGAATTATCATTTACCTGCTTGCCAGGGTTTCTCGTGGCCTGCTTCAGGAGATGGACAAGATCGGGAGGGCCAAGCTCCCGAAGGGAGATGAGGGATTCGGTTCGGGCTTCAATTGATTCAGAGAGAATCTCCTCGGTAAGCCTGGCAAACAGATTAGAAATAGAAGCAGTGAACGGATGGAATGGGGATGGTAGACTCACTCGGGCACAGCCGGCGCAACCATGGCGGCGGTTGTTGCGTGTCAAGCTTTGGCGGCGCGCAGTATGGAAGCAATGCTCTCGATGAGGATGGACTGGATACGGTGTTATGAGCGAACGATTCGATGCATGTGTGCGCGCAGGAGAAGGCGCCTATGAGCGATTCTGGCCCGCACGCTCGAGAGAATGGCTGGGAGTAGAGGGAAGGGTGTTGGTGATCGAAGGCGGTTCGAGGTGTGGTCGGTGAGATTGACGAGGGATGGAGGATTGAAGTGCACAGCTTGTGCAAGGTGGACTTGGAGGTGGGATTGCGGCGTGCGGTGCAGCGTGCGGCGTGAACTGGACACTTGGGGAAGGAAGGTAGGTAGGTGGTAACGGTAGGCACTGTGGGCAAGCTTGGACTCCACGACTCTCTGTATTCTTCTCAATAGGTACTTACCTGCTCCGTATTCCGTGCTCCGTATGTGTGCCAGGAGTCTAGGACTGGGAACGTGTTGCCAGCTTGGAACACCTCGATAATGATTGACGTTGTGCAACTGACAGGGAGTTGAGGTCTGTCATTGGCAGGGGACAGACGAGATGGAGAGCAGATGGAGCTGCCACGCTGCTTTGCTGGAGGATGATTGACAGGGCCAACCGCCAAAGAGCCACGATTTAATTAGACCACGGGCGCTTTCCCAAGTTCCATTCGACGGTCGGCGGGACTCAAACGTGGCCGGGCCCAGGACCGGGTGGGTCCAACGCACCTCTACACTACTCCGTACCTGAGGTAGGCGTTACCTAGGTACCTACCTAAGATAGCTGCGTTGCCATGTTCCTGAGGTGCTGAGATGCCAGCTTGAGTTGAATCCTTACGTAAGGCACCTCGCTAGAGTCGCTGCACGGACACTCGAACAGCGCAACCCCTTGAGCCTTGGCCATTGTCCTGTACGGATACAGAGTACCTGAGGTATGCCTATCAGCCTATCAGGGATTTTGGAGGTGGAAGCTTGAAGCTAACCCCTGGCCAGAGTCTGACGCGAAAGCTGTAAGTGCCCTGTGGGCTCTAGGTACCTTCCATGCGATACGTACCGCTAGCAAGCAACCAATTTAACGTTCCTGGATTCAGGTCGCGTCAATCCTCAAAGCCACGCGCATCGATTTTCCCCAAGGTCATTATGGCTGCGCATTCGTCTAGAACCACATCCTTTTGAACATCCGATCCCCTCCTTCATATCGCACATTATTATATAAAGTACATCGCCGTTCTAATCAATCTGGTCGCAAGACCCTGCCGACAATATGGTTCGTCTATGAAATGTCATCAATCATTTGGCCTTGCGACCAAAGCTAATCCCAGCACGTAGCCGGCTTTCCAAGCGATCAACGTCGAAGCCGAGGAGAACTCGGATGATGAGGTCGACACCACCCGCGAGCTGCATGTACGCGCCAATGTATCGCCCCGATATTCCAACCAATACTGACTACTCCCCAGGTCGATGAAGCTCTCAAGCGCTTCCAGAATGCCCTGAAGCTGCATGCTCAAGGCCCTCGATTCTTCGATGAAGCTTCCGACGCCTACGACGATCTCTTCAAGTCCGAAATCTTTAAATACCCCGAGGCCTCTACCGAGTACGAAAGGGCAGAAAGGCAACCAGATCAATTGCTCGCCGATCCCGCTCTCGCCGGCACTCTCGATCTCCAATCCGCCGATGTTGATACCACCGGCAGCAGTCTTCCCCAAGCCTTCTTCCTTGCATACAAGAATCGCGGTCAATTTCTTCTTGATCGCACCCGACATGCCGCCCGAGCCGCCGGAGACGATGCATCTTCTTACTTCGAGAAGGATGATGCGCTCCAAAATATGCATAGCGCTCTGGTTGACTTCAATGCCGCTCTTGACCGCGATCCATCCGATGCAGAGTTGT